GGCAGGCTCTTGCACAGACACTAGAAATATTATTTCAGAGTTTAAGGTCACAGCCTTGTGTTTAACATGTTCCACGCAGCTTTGGAGGAAAAAATAAAAATAAAAAACTAATTTGACTAGAACTAAAGAAGGACATTTGACATTTCCCAAAGTCATGTATTCAGAAGCCAGTCAGGTAGAAAAATTGTTTTTTAGTACCTGCAATAAAAAACAAAAAAACACACATAGCTGCAGAAATAGCATGGTAGCATGTCAGAATATCTCGCAGGATAAACAGAGATAGAATTCAAGTTTATTAGGAACTTGATGTACATAATTATGAGAGTGAGCTTTTTGATATGTGTGTTTTAATCTCTATTTTTCCCTCAGGCAATTGGACAGAAAAATTAAATGCTAGAAACTTTTCATGGGAAGCAAATAATTTCTTTACCTTCTTATAAGTGTTTTCAAGAAATAAATTATTTCTCTTACACCAGTTCTCAAATAGTCATCAGTCCTTTGTGAATGTTTTTCAGATACTCTGAAATATTGAACTCTAACCTCATCTAACTGTGCAGAGTAGAAATTGAATTGAAATTATTTTCCAAAACCACATCTCAGCTTTTCTGTTTAAGGAAAACAAAAGTGAGAAGGGGGAAAAGTAAAGAAGAGAAAAGTAAACATGATGTAAAGTTTATATTTAAAGTCAGATGTAACTTCAAAATAAACTTTTTGCTTCTTCCAGTCCAAGGAGTATTTATACCAGTAATATTTCTTACTGGGTTAGAAGTGAAGTCCCAGATACTGTAATGTTTTTGTTTAATTTTGGTATTGTTTTCCTGTCTTAAAGCAATTCTTTTTAGTTTCTCTCTTGAAATCCTTATATAGCCATGCAGAATATTGTTTGTTTTAGGACAAATGGAGAAGTAGAGTGTACTTGAATGAGCATTCATTGAGGGACCAAATTCTGTTGGAAACCACTGCTTTTTTAACGCTAATGTGTTTTGTGTGTGTTATCTGCCATATGGTTAGTGATGTTTCTCACAACTTCAGACACTCGGGAAAATTTAAGCAGAGATGTGACACAAATAACACAGCTTAGCTGATTATGTAATAGTACTGAAAAATCTACCCAAAAATTGAATTTAAAAAGCATTGCTTTTTGTTTGTCACAGGTGTTTCTCTACTCAAAGAAAAGTCACGTGCTGCAGAATTAGATCCATGATGTTGTGTTTCTCTACAGCTAACAATTGAATAGGAGGATCAAGTAGAGGGAGTCGCTCCAGACTTCTTTTCCTTCTCTCTGCCTCTGCGTTTGACAGGACCTTAGTTTCCCCTCCGTGAAATCAGAGATTGCAAAGCCCCCTTCAGGTTTTTACCTTTGTTGTCAACTTACGGAAATTGTCAAGTTTTCTGCCATTGTGGCTTAAAGAGAAGCTTAAGAGCTTTCCTCATATTTTTTCAGCAAATCGTAGAAAGTTGTACCACCTCATTTTTTCCTAACCAGGCCCCAGTTCCCAGGAACTCAAAGTCACCAGTATTGGGGGACCTGGGACAGCGGGATCCTGCACCTTACCTCACTCCAGTGACCCACTCTGTGAGATGGATGGGTTGTTTTACAAGACTATTTTTTATAATTTGTTTTCATAAATGTCTTTTAAGTCAGGTGTAGATAGACTAAGTGAAGTTCTGCACATCCTCGGAAACATTGCTTTCTCCACTGATATTTGATGAGTGAAGGAGAGTATGCCTAGCTTATGTAATTCTTCCACTTATTTGTATCTTCTTTAATTCTTTCTTCAATGTCTTATAAATTTGCAAGTAGAGTCCTTTTACCTCTTTGGTTAAATTTATTCCTAGGTATTGGTTTTAAGCAATTGTGAATGGAATTGTTTTCTTAGTTTTCCTTTCCAGTAGTTTATTATTAATATAAAAAATGCAACTGATTTCTGGATATTAATTTTGTATCCTGCTACTTTACTGAATTCATTTACAGTTCTAGTATTTTTTTGGGGGGGCGGGGGGGAGGGTGTCTTTAGAATTCACTATATACAGTATCATGTCATCTGCAAATTATGACAATTGTACTTCTTCCTTTCCAATTTGGATGCCTTGTATTTCTTCTTCTTGCCTGATTGCTGTGGCTAGTACTTCCAGTACTGTCTTGTTCTTGATCTTAAGGGAAATGCTTATAGTTTTTGCCTATTGAGTATGATACAGCTGTGGGTTTGTCATATATAACCTTAATTTCATTGAAGTATGTTCCTTCTTCCCCTTTTTTCCTAGCCTTGACTATTCTGGTTAACTTAAAGTTAACAATTCCTCTTTCATCTTAATCATTTCTGCTGAATAGCCATATTTTGCTGTTAGTCACAAAGTTCATCAAAACATTATTTTCAGTCTTATATATTTGCAGGAGTTGGTTCATTTTTAAAGTTACATAGCATTCTTTTTGTAATCTGGTTCTGAAAAGGGTTTGTTTTAAGCCAGTGGTGTAACCTTGCATTTCTGTCAGTAGGTCCAGTTGTTAGGGAAGGTTCTATCAGTGGTAGTGAGGTAGCCATAGAAGTTACTTCCCAGGGGAATATCAGAATGCCAGGTGAGACATGTAAGACAGACTAGTTTGATCACTTCTAGTGGATTATCTCAGTCATTAACATAATACCTGGATGGGTGCTTGTTGTCCTATTGTCTTAAGATATATGTGGCCTTATTTTCTTCAGATTCCCTGGCTTTTCCTTTTAGACTGGGATTTCTTGCTAGATAACAGGTGTTGATAGGCAAAGATGGGTGACCATCCTCATTCTTGTTAAATGCAGTTCTTTAACCACACTAGGTTAAAGGAGAAGACAGTTGGAAAGTATAGGGGGAGGTGGCTCATTAAAAACAAAAATTTAAAAATGTGAGGTTTATTATATATGTCCTTAGCCCATAAGTTTCCTCACTGTCACCAAGGCAAAGTTGCATCTTCCAGAGTTCCCTTCCTTAGCATAATTGTTGTTTTAAGGTTATTTGAAATAGCTAATTATCTTAAAAGTTGTATTTTACATTCATTTCATTGAAACTTTAACCTTACAAAAATATTGAGGATTGCATGTATTAGTTTTTGTTCATATTTTAGGGAGTGGGGATAGATTGTAGCAGCTTTTGATCAAGGTCTTAGCTTTCTTATGCTCGTTTTTGCCCAGTATTCTCTGAAGAAGTATAGAGCCTCACCAGTGAGATGAAATATCCATGGCTGAGAGGACAAAAAGGGTGACTGGAGAGTTGTTTGCCACTATAAATAACTGCACATCGCAGTTTTCCTGAATCCCTTTGGCAAATAATAATTAAATATTCATCTACAAATAGTTCTCTGATGGTTGATTGAAAGCCCTGCCCTCTACTGTATAAACATAGCAAGTCTCCTAATTCTGTGTATATATTATCATTATTATGTCCAGATAAATAGGACAGTCCAAAAACGATGACTGCATTCACTCCAACAAGAAGAAAGAACCAGCATTCTGTTTCAATGTCTCTGCAATCCCATATTATTGTTAGATTAATTTCCTGAAAACTTAATGTTACATGGAGTGTAATTGCAAATTTCCTTAAGAACCATCGAGAGATACTTATCCTAAGTTATAAGCAACTCACACTGTGAAATGTATGCAAACATTCTAAGTTTTTTACAGGAAAACATACTTCAGTGAAACCCAGTATTCATCAGGGTTTTTTTGTGTTTTTTTTTTTTTTAATAAAGCTCAAAGTAGAAGTTTCAGAAACTTTCTTTTGATGCCATTGATTTTTAAAAGAAATTAGTGTTGCAGGAACTATTACTAGTTTTCAGAAAGTGAAATAAGTCTTTGATAAGTGTCACCCTAGAAATCTTACAATCTTTGACTAAGGGCTACATTTTGAATGAGATAGTAAAAAAATAGCAAATTATGGTGTATTTGGGTATTGGCATTGCACATAGAAGAGGGTGTGTTTTTAATTGTATTGGTGGTCTATTTAGTGCAGCTGTGTTTATGTTTCCTAAATAGGAATTGCCTGAACGTGGTGGCAAGTCCCTACCTATGAAACTGGGGATTGCTTTTTTAAATCTTCATGCCAATGTGCTTTAATATAGAGGGTTATATTTACCAAGTAACAAAAGCAAATGTAATTCCGGGCACAGTCATTCAATGCAGTCATTTAATATTTGCTACATCAGACATTTTGTAAAAATCAGTAATTGATACTTTATATGTTACATTTCACAGTGGAATAAACTTGGAATGTTCTAGAAGTCACATTTCTTTATCCCATATTTTGTTTGATTTAACTTCTTGATTATTGAAAATGTATGCTTAGATAATAAATACAGACACATATAGGTTGATCCTCTAGAGAATTAACAGTCCCCTATTTTTGTTGTATTTGTATTTAAAAATATGAATATGAGGTCATGGCTATAACATAGAGGAGACAGTTGCCTGTGACAGAGAAAATGTATATGACAAGTAAATAGCTGTGTGAATTAATGAGCAATTTCAGAATAGTATGTGAAATGTTTAGATGCAAGCTCTTAATGACTAGTTTTTGGAAGCATTTTCTTTAGTGTTACATTCCCCATAACTCAAATTAATGTTTATTACTACTCTTTCATATTGCCAAAATATTTTCATGAATTTGGATTAGAAGCAGCTTGTTCTGGCTTGTTGTGCAGCCTTGTTTCAAGAAACAAAGTGATATTTAGAAGATTTTTGTAAGTCTTAGAAGCCTTAATTATCTTATGCTGAAGGAGGAAATAAAATCAAGTTTTGTTTCATAGTTAAGAATATAAGATTTCATACCAGGCTCATTTTTATTACCAAATAGTTAATAAAGTCTTTCAGGAAATTTGAATAGGTGATTCTTTATTAGCTGTTAAGTAACTAGCAATTTAGAGCCTACTTTAAATTCAGGAGGGATACTACTTACGGGGATGGCATTTGTTTTGAATTCTTAGGTGTTTGCCTGTATCATTCCTTTTTTTCTCCCCTTTTTTTCCTCAGATTGGTGAAAGACAACAAGTGTTGGTAACAGAAGAATCTTTTGATTCCAAGTTTTATGTTGCACACAATCGATTCTATGAGCAGGTAAGAGATATTTCTGTGTTCTTAAATTTTCTTCAAAATGAAAAAGAGTTCTGAAAGTAAGTCTGCTTAAGCAAAAGGAACTTAAAAGGGGGGAGGGTTATGGAATCTTGTGCAGCAAGGCATTTTATAGCATTCAACCAGCCGAACTGACATGGGCCTTATCTTCATGGCTTAGTCTGCGAAACATTCTTTATAAAGGAAGACATGTATTTCAGTCCTCACTAGTCTTTGAGGGGGCCAGCCTTAGGCTTTGGGGAGTTTGGAATAGACAGCTGTTCCTGCCAACATTCCCACAGCCTGGCAGAGTCCTGTCCAGAGGCAGGAAGGATGTCTGCACGGGCGGCATCAGCGGGAAGGGCAGGGATTTCCTCTCTGTCAAGGCACTCCTGCAGGTTTCTTGGTTGGTTGGTTTTTTTAGTTCTGTTTAGTTTTCATATTTGTTTTTATAACTCCCAATTGATAAAAATGCTGGGAGCAAAAGGAAAAGAGTCTATTCCTTGGATTCAATTCTGATTGTGTGAGGAGAGCAGTGTAAGGACCAAAACAACTTTACCTTGAGAATTTTCTCCCAACCCAACTGCAGGGGCTCTTTTCCAGCCCAAGAAGCCGGCCTGCCTTGCCTCCCCAGTAGCCAGACTGTGTCTCGGCATTTGGGACTCCACTTGCCCCAGAGGTAAAGCCATTAGGAAGTGACTGAAGGAAACAGCAGGCCTCCTCGAGGGACATTGGGATATGGGGATGGGATATGGCCTCTCAGGTAGGGGACTTGCATGGGGACAGGGTTTCATGGGTCCTGGATTGCATTAACTTTTAAGATCAAATGACAAGTGGATTTTTTCTATGGGCCATGGCCAGCATTAGAGCTTGGGAAGGCTCATAAGACCACTGTGGGCAAATCATACAGGAGACAGTGAAGGGCAGCCAGCCAACTGCGCCTGAGCAGGGAAGCAGTAGCTAAGATGCCGTGGGCACTGATGTGCCACCTGGAGCCATCTCAGACGGGCCTGGGTCCTCAGGAAAGGTGGGGAGCTTTCCCAGACCCAGACTAAACAAGCCCTGTCCCAGGCCTGTGGAGGCGACCGTCACCGGCAAGGAAGGATTTCCAGCACTGGTGTCTGAGCCGAGGCGCTCCCCACTTTCCATCTCATTAATTGACTCCAGAAAGCCTCTTTCCTACCCAGGCCTGCTCTCTGCTCAGCTTGGGGAGGAGCTTGATTGTATTTTCATTGCCTCTTCCCTCTCCTTTCTCTTGCCATCTGGGTTTCTGCCTCAGCGGGGAACTTTCCCCCCCTTCATTTTAAAGGCAATGGCATGCCTCATTAGCTGTTTCCTCCAATTTAAAGCAGCCGGGCTTTTTCCAATTATTAAAACCGGAGGGGGAAAAACACTGAGCCCTTCATTCAGATCAAGGCAGCAGATCAAGGGGAGTTATTTTCCCCCAGAATCACACCAGATCTCCCCGGGATAGTTTACTCTGGAGATTTTCTTGTCTTATAAAAATTGATTTAAAGAGGCTTTCATATTCTGATACTAAAGCTCTCTTAGTCCGTCTGCTTACCGTGAGTAACTCACCACCCAGGTGACCTTCCTACACTTTGATGAAGCGGCGGACTCAGTGGTCATGAAAGTCAGACTCAAAAGGACCGAGCTCCACCGCGGCCTCTGAGAAACCGGCTGTGCAGCCTCTGCCTCCTCTGACCTTTTGTCTCTACTGTTAAGTTACAGAGATCTCACAGGAATAATTTTTCTACTGAGATGAGTTCCAGAAGGAAAGATTACATCAAGTTATCAAAGTCTTGCTGGTTCAGAATTAGTCTCTTTATTTTGGATCCCAACTTTAAACAGTTGGCTAGTAGCTAGTCCTAAAATAGAGGGAGACATAATGCATAAAGACTACCTGTAAGTCCCAAAGCAGGGGAGAGATTTGCTCGAGGTAAACAAGTGCTTTTACCCGAAATCTCTAGTGGAAAGAGACCATAGGACAATTTCCTATGAACCCTTCCAAAGTAGCTGATTCTATGTGCAGTTAGCGCTCACAATACATGCGTTTTATTACAGAGCAAAAGAACTGAATGGCAACCAGTTAAAGGAGCTTTTTATCTCCATGTTACCCATGTTTGGGATATTGAAAAAGTTGCTTTTAAGTGTTCTTTCTCTTCCCCAAAAACACACACTCGGACACACACGCACACATATACATGCACACAAACATGCAGGCCTTCATTTGAAGTGTCTGCTCAAACCAGAACTTTGATAGCTAAGTTGGAAGGTATTAAAAGTAGGAGGCTTTCATCAGTGTTGTCTTGGTTTCCTTCATTGCATGGGACAGCCAAGAGCAGAATATCAAAGGCCTGTCCAGAAGTGGCTGGCGGCCTGCTGGGGTTTCCCAGGTCTGCCTCCCACATGCCTGAGGACAGCAGGCGTCCCGCAGTGCAGGAGGCTGCGTGCAGCAGCCCCTCCCAGAGCGCCTGCCCCCCACCCAGGTCCCCACCCAGGTCCTGGAGCAGCTGGAAGATAGAGCCCACTTGGGGTGGATCTCAGAATAGAAAGGACATTAGCTGACAGCTGAGGAATTCTGAATAAAGTGGGACTTTACTTAATAGTCAGACACCAATAATGGCTCATTCATTGTGACAGCCCGGCAGACTGGTGTACTGTTTTCCTGGGGAAACTGAGTATGGGCTGTGCAGGAACTCTGCTCCCTTTGCAGTAATTCTATAAATTTAAAACTGTTCTAAAATTAAAAGTTTATTTTAAAATTGAGCCCTCTGAACATTTTTTTAAAGGTTTTAGTGCCAAAGAACCCCACATTCATGGGGAAAATGGTCGAAGTGGACATTTATGAATCAGGAAAGCACTTTATGAAAGGAAAGCCAGTAGCAGACGCCAAAGTATACACGCCATCCATCAGCAAACCATTAGCCAAAGGAGAAGTCTCAGGCTTGACCGAGGTGAGTAAAAGGTGCTCCCCTCCACCCTGCCAGTAAGAAGCAGCTGGGGAGGCACAGTGTTCGGACAGTGGCTCCGTGGCTCTGTATTTCACAGCCCCTCTCTGTGTCTGCAGGAGGCTGCAGTCCTTGAAATCTGAATTAGAAAGATGCAGTTCTGCTGATGCCTTTAGCTTTTTTTTTCCTTCTTCTTCTCTGCCTATGAAGGGAATCAGCGGTTTCTGCTTCCGGTCTAGGTGCAGAAGGCAAACGCCATTATTTTCAGGTGAAAGATATAACACCAAAGACGGTCAGATCTGGTGTGTGTCTGTGTCAGTAAATCCTGAATGGAATTGGGTGAGGGAAGACATCGTTTCTTGCTTTATAAAGCTGTTTATAATATAGTAAAACCTATAGTTAAACAGGCACTAAACCATGTCAGTATATGTGCTTATGGTGACTTTCTCTCCTGCAGCGATTTGCAACCTTTTTCATCTCATGGCACACATACACTAATTACTAAAATCCTGCGGCACACAAAAACGTATTTTATATCAATCTTGAAAAAAAAAAAAAAGGCGTATAATTTTTTAAATATACTTTTATTGAGTTCAGAAAGGAAGAGAGAGATAGAAACACCAGTGATGACAGAGAATCATTGATTGGCTGCCTGAAACCCGGGCATGTGCCCCGACCAGGAATTGAACCAGGACCTCCTGGTTCATAGATCATTGTTCAACCACTGAGACATGTTGTCATTTTTTTATTTGACAATCTAAGGGAAAAGAGGTCAGTGCCCTGACTGAATAGTCAGGTATTGCGTGTTTTAAAAATTCTTGCATACACCAGAGTGCCTGAGATGGCACATAGGTTGAAAATCACTGCTCCATGGTGTTAGCTGAATATCTGTTTTAGTCATGTGGACTGAATAGGAAACTTTTTAAAATTTCAATAGAACAGTAACCTGACCACTATTTTATACCTTGGTAAATATGGCTGTTTGCCAAGCTCTCTCTTACATTTCATTGAGCTACAGTTGTAAAAGCTGATGGAGTGTGAAATGAAAATGTGTATCACATTTCTAAGCATCATTTGATGTCCTTTCTCTAGCACAATTGTTAAGCACTCAAGAAAAGTATATAGCAGTGACTTCATGTATGGAAAAAAGATAAGTGGTATTTATCTGGCCATATAATTCCAAAATTGTTTTAATATATGTATTATCTTTTCCCTCAAAATATACTGCAAGGCATGTTAATTGGACTTTGAGAGTAGGGACAAAGAGGGTATCATTATCTATGCTCTCATTTAGAATGTGACACACTCTGGTGTCCAAACCTGAGTGACCCCTCATGAGCTTGACAAGTACATGTGAGGACTGTGTGCATCGCATGTGACTGATAACGGAATGACGCAGACTCGCCTTTGTCTGGACCCTGCCAAGTGTGTCATCCTGCTCGACCAGGAGTGAACTGGAAAACTTGATAAGCATAACCACTAATGTTTACTGTTATTAAAAAAAAAAAATCATACTTGGTTGGGGTGGATGGCTAAGAGGGAACAGTGAAACCCAGCATTTAAATGATATTGCTAGAAAGGTGGCTTTTACATCAGAAATGCTTAAAGGAAATCGGCTTATCTTTTGTTGTTCTCCACAGTGTGTTTTACAAGCTCAATTTTAAATGGCTACAATAAAAAAGATCACAACAAATGGTAGTAGCCGGCAAATTATTATTCCAAACACTCTGCCTGATTTAATTCCTTCACATATGCCTATTAAAAAGGATGGAGTTTTATTTTTTATTTATTTATTTATTTAATATATTTATTGATTTTTTTACAGAGAGGAAGAGAGAGGAATAGAGAGTTAGAAACATCGATGAGAGAGAATCATTGATCAGCTGCCTCTTGCACACCCTCTACTGGGGATGTGCCCGCAACCAATGTACATGCCCTTGATGGGAATTGAACCTAGGACCTTTCAGTCCGCAGGCTGACACTCTATCCACTGGGCAAATCGGTTTCAGCAAGGATGGAGTTTTAAAACATCATCTTTAATGATACAGAAATCAGAAAAAGTAGTGCCTTCTTATTCATTTCTTCACCATTATGTTCCTCTCTAGAACAGTAGCCTTACTTAACCTTCACGGGCAGCCTTTTCTGTTCTCCTCTCCCCGCTCCGGTCTGTGCCACCGGTCCCCCTCTGAGCTGCGATGATCCAGGAGAGTCCTAGGAATGGTCTCACAGTGTGCATGAGGCCCAGGGTCAGGAATATTGAATTGGGTGTTAACGTTAAAGGGAAACATCAGGCAAGTCCGTTATCACCATGCGTGGCTTCATATAAATTAAGGAACATAGCTTTATGCTTCATTATTTGTCAGCTTTAAAGGCTTTAAAAATATGCCAAACTCAGGGTCGAAAAGCCTTCTTCAAAGACTTTGTCCTGATGTTAAAATGTTTTGGCTGATGATAGGAATTAAAGTAAATTAAGCAAGAAGAGAACAGATTCCATTTTTGTAGGCTTAAGAAGTAGATGGTAGGGGTTATAATTATGTCTCAGACATTTTGGGCTCTTTGAACTTGATAAAGGTGCTGGCACTCTTGAATGCAAAGAACCAGCTTAACCGTGTGGATGGAGCATGGCCTTGGGCTCAGCTGGACCTGGGTTTGCATCTAGACTTGCCAGTTGGCCTGAGGCACATGGCTCCTGAGCGTTAGTTTAGTCTGTGAAGTGGGAATGATGATGTCTCTCTCCTGGGGTTGTTGAAAGGAATACACTCATTAGTGTGTATAAGCTACCGAATTCTGTTCCTGGAACATGGTTAGCAGGTACTAAGTGGCCATTGTTCTTTTCACACATAGTCCCATCTGGAAAGAACAGACTTTGCAGATGGCCTGGTTCTGACATTTTCAGTTTAGTTCATCATTTTACCCTGACATGGTGTGCAGAGGCAGGAGAGAGAGTGTATTCTCTGTGAGGATCATCTACTCAGTGCTTGAAGACCAATCCCAACTGAATTTCTTTCTGAATTTTCTGGGCTTTCCTGAGTTTTCTGGTATGATAACCTTCCCTACACACACCATAAAGAATTCTGGAGCCCTAGCTAGTTTGGCTCAGTAGATAGAACATCAGCCTATGGACTGAAGGATCCCGGGTTCGATTCCAGTCAAGGGCGCATGCCAGGGTTGTGGGTTCTATCCCCAGTAGAGGGTGTGCAAGAGGCAGCCGATCAATGATTCTCTCTCATATTGATGTTTCTGACTCTCTCTCCCTCTTCTTTCCTCTCTGAAATCAATACAAATATATATATATTTTTAAAAGAATTCTGGAGAGGCCAAAGCACCTAAAGCAAAATATTGTGCTATAAATTATTTTCCCTAGTAAATGCATTTTCTTAATTGGGAATGTTCTGATTAATCTTTTAAGTATTTAGTCCCTGCTACTTTGGGCTTCTTTAGTCTGACTGTAGGCCCTGTGACGTTTTTGATCAGATGGTGAGGACAGCAGATGGGAGAGAAGCACAGCCGGGTGGGTCACGCGCTCCAGACTATAGAATCCTCGCATTTGCAGTAACAGGTTTTTGTGACCTTTTGTGCACCTCACAAGTTCCCTGAACCTCAGTTGTCTCTGAGATTCTGTGATTGAAATATTGCATTTGATAAAAATGGATTGAATGCCTACCTTGTGTCAGGACTGTAAATTCTATAAACATTAATAAAAATAGACCTTGTATTTTCAAATAATGTGTGGATGGAGCATGGCCTTGGGATCAGCTGCCTCCTGCATACCTCTCTACCCAGAACATGATGGAAAAAGAAAGCCATAATAAAGTCAAAAGGTTGCTGCCCTCTAAGAAATGATATTCTAGTGGAAAAGATACATAGTGACATCTTTTTATGATGATTACTGTTCTTCTTTTCAGTTTGGGTAGAGGAATGGAGGACTAGACAAAGAAGAGAATAGGAAAAATAGATGAAATTAGTCTGAATAATATTAGGGAAGATGGGAGCCAAAATGCCACTTTCAACCTGATAGGGAACATTTCTGAATAAGTATCATTGAAGGATAATTCATTTTAGAAAAAAGGTTATATGAAAGTTATCCAATGGAAGACTCATAGAGTTCAAAGGGATACATATAAATCAGAGAGCTCTGATGGGTGTGGCTCAGTTGGTTAGGTGTTGTGTTGAGCACCGAAAGTTGCTGGTTTGATTCCAGGTCAGGGCACATGCCCAGGTTGCTGGTTCAGTTCTGGGTAGGGGTGGGCAGGAGGCAGATGATCAGTATTTCTCTCTCTTTCTCCCTTCCTCTCTCTCTAAAAATCAATAAAATATTTAAAATATGTATAAAAATCAAAGAAAGGATAGGTCAAAAACTTTTGTCTGGTAACTCTCAGGAGACTTAGCAGAAAGAAGGGAATGGGAAGCAGTAATTCTTAAGAAGGTTATTATAAAAACTAGTGGGCTGGTACACAAGAATCTGTGCACTGGGCAGGGGACTTGAGGGTTCCCTCTGCCCGGCCTGCCCCCTCTCACAGTCTGGGAGCCCTCACGGGATGTCCTACTGACAGCTTAGGCCCGCTCCTCGCAGTCTCGCCTGCCTCTGCGGGAAGCAACCGGCCTATCAGGTATATAGATACTTTCTGAAGGCAGCACTGACTCCTTCCTTATTTCTTTCCTCTGTGGTTGGCAAACAGGGGGCTAAAAGGTGGAGACAGACCTGTGAACAGGTTTGGGGCTTTTGTAGGCAGTGGAAAGAGAGAAAAGGGTGGGAAAAGTCTAGACACTGTTTCCTTCAATTGTCCTCCCTTCCTCTGGGCACCTCCCTCCATTTTTTCCTTGTTATGATGGACACTTAGGCCTTGGACTGACAGGAACCCAGCAACAGTGGGGTTCAGCCCCCTCACTGCTCAGCTGAACGTAAAGCCACCTTACGTTCCAAGCAGGGCTGTTTACAAGTGGCGAAAGTGCTGGGAATTCACACCTCCCAGCCTTTTCCCTCTCCATTTCCTCCTTGGGTCTGG